TGTCCCCGCCCCGCACGGCGCCCGTCTCGCTCACTGCCGCCCCAGGCTTCCACCTGTTCCCCGCGGCCTTTCGCGCGCTCGAGCCCTCCCTCCTGTCGCTGGCGCACGCCACGCCGCCCGCCTGGGCCGACTTCCGCTTCCGCCTGGCCAAGAACTACGGCCCTGCGTACAACCTGCCGCAGCGCCGCTTCCTGTTCGGCCCGTCCGCGCCCCCGCGCATCCCGCTGCCGCCGTACGTCGAACACTCCGTGCTTCCCGTGCTGCGCGCCCTGACCCCGGTCCTGGCGGCCTTCCGGCCCAACCAGATGGCCGTCGGCCTGTACCGCGGCGCCGCCGCCCACATCCTGCCGCACAACGACTGCGAGAACGGCACCATCGGGACCGCGGTCGTCGGCGTGTGTCTCGGCGCCGCGTGCACTATCACCCTCATTCTCCGCGCAAGGCATAGTGGCGTCGGGAAGGATGTCAAGAAGGACGTCCGCTTGCCGCGCGGCGCGTGCTACGTCATGTCCGGCGACGCGCTGCGCGTGTGGGAGCACGCTATATTTCCTGGCCGCACGGAAGGCGACCGCGTCAGCTTGACGCTGCGCGATGTCGCCCCGCGTAAGGACGAGGGCGGTGCTGGTGGTACAGAAGAGTCTTTACTCGCTGAGCATACATGACTCTGTTAAGGTTTTTGTACGGTACAAGTTTTTTATCGCTCGCGCAGGAGGCGCAGCCCGTTGAGCCCAACGAGCACGGTGCCGCCTTCGTGGAGCGTCACGGCGAGCCAAAGGGGGACCGCCCCGGCCACGCACGCGCCGGATGCGATTAGCATTAGCCCGAGCGCAATGATGAGGTTTTGTCGCACCACGGCTTTTGTCGCCCGCGCTTTCTTGAGAAACCACGTCACATTGTGCAGGTTTTCTTGCACCAGAATCACGTCGGCCGCCTGCACGGCCGTCGCGCTGCTCAGTCCGCAGGAGATGCCCACTAGGGACGCCGCTAGAGCCGCCGCGTCGTTCACGCCATCCCCGACCATCACCACGCCGCACCCCTGCTTGCCTAGCTCACTTACATAGCCCAGCTTTTGCTCTGGCGTCGCGCTGGAGATCACCGTCACCCCGCCGCCTACCGCTACGCTGACAAATTGTGCGGCGCCTTCACCGTCCCCGGTGAGAACTGAAGTCCTGAGGCCTTGTCTCTGCAAGCCTTCCACAACCTCCTTCGACTCCGCTCTCACTTCGTCTTTCAACCGCAAAAGGTATCTGTCTGACCCAAGTTCTAGCACCGACATGGTTTCGCCCCGTGCCGTAGCTGCCAACGTCATTCTTTTCACCTCTTCCGCACTACTATCCCCGAGTATGTAGCTCGGCCGTCCCAGTCGCCCGCTTGTAATCTCCATGCCACCGTCGACATCGTCAAAACTTAAAACGCCCTCCACTCCCTGCCCTGCAACAACCTTGGGTTCTATTACTGCTGGCAGCTCCCCTCCCAGCTGTTCTGCGCGTTTTTGCACTGCTGTAGCGATTGGATGCACCGCACCACGCTCCAGTGCCGCCGCCGCCCCTACAACCTTGGTCATCTCAGCATGCTCTAACTCCTTGAGATTGTCCAGCAACATCCGCTCCCGCCCGCTTGTCGCAGCGACGCCATTCCCGGAGGCATTCGAATAGCGCACCCCGCCCCCCTCCAGATACTTCGGCAGCACCGTTGCCGAGGTGAGCTTGAGTTTGCCAGTAGTTAGCGTCCCAGTCTTATCAAAGACGACATGCGACGCTCTAGACGCCGCCTCTAACGACTTCGCCCCCGACTTTGTCAGCACGCCTTTCCTCGCACAGCTACTCAGAGCCGCGAGGTACGCCACCGGGGCGCCAATAAGCAAAGCGCACGGCGACGCTGCGACCAAAAACCCCAGCGCCCTCATAACAGACCCCGCCTTCCCCGTGAACGCAATAGGTTTAACAAGCGGCGCAAGCGCTGCTGACAACCCGGGCAGCAACACGGCTAGCGCGGCAGACACGAGCAGCACGGTGCGCGTGTACACGCGACCAAACCTGTCGAAAAACTGCGTGACCGCGGGCTTGTTCTCCTGCGCCGAAGTAACCAGGCGTGCGATCCTGGCGAGCGCGGACTCCGCCCCCACGCTTGTAACTCTCACCACGACGGGGGCGTCCTCCGCGCGCGCGCCGGCGGGCACGGCGTCGCCCTCGCGCAGCGAGCGCGGGAGCGACTCGCCCGTGAGGAACTGGAGCGAGAAGAAGGCGGCGCCCTGTGCGACGACGGCGTCGCACGGGACGAGCTCGCCGG